CATCATCTGGACAGACTACAACGCAACTGGTGAGACAATCCCCATGTCAGTTTGGTACTCACATTGACAGGTAGTATGTTGTAGAGGCTATTAAATTCAAAGCACTGGTTCTAATTCAAAAAATGAACCTTCTTGAAAAGAAGCAGCTGGGATGTTATATAGAGAAATAAAATTTTAATATATTGCTTTTCTTATTTAATGTTATGAAAGCATTATTTTTCATTTCTATACAGAAACTAGACTGAAAAATATTGAATACTGACAGTTGCTCTATCTGTCACATTTATTCTGTGTGCAGAGTTTAGAAAGATACAAACACGGTAATTCTTGAAGAAAACATAGTAAAATTACAAATCAGTAGGACAGATTTTAAAAATCTGTCTTTTTCATTTATAAAAAAAAAAAAAAAAAGAAAGTGATTTGAATGATACAGGATCAGTAACAGGAGCTGTAGGCCTTCATTCTGAGGTGACTTGTCTGCATCGAACATAAATCAGCAGTGACCATTTATTGTCTAACAGCTGTTCAGTAGCCTGCATGTGATGATATGGTAGCTCCTGTTGGAGAGTTGTCCAGGTGACAGTCACAGCTATTTGCCATCCCTGCTGGCAGTCTCAAATAATGTAAGAGAACAATAAGACCTAGAGACCATAGCAGCCCATGTCTTCTCAACAGAAAGCAATTCCAGAAGAGAATGATGAAAAGGTATTTCTCAAATGAGCAGTGTCCACCCAATGTGTAAAAACAATATCTCAGTTTAAGGTGAGATTAATAAAATATTTTTCATGGGAATTATCTTAATTTTGCATGGTACCATGCCAAATCTTTGAGACACTTTTTTTTTATTAATACTAAGGCCTTGATTTTTCTTCTCAACAAATTCCACAGATTTAAATGTTAGACTGCAGAATTGGTCCTTTAATATAATCTACCAGTATTTCATCACTGCAATGTTCTTATTTTGTATTCTACAAGTTAAACAAATAGTGAATTAGGAACACATTTCCTCTTTCCATTTATTACTACTATGAAAGAACTTGCACCTACCATGCAGAACTGTAGAGTTATGGGAAATATTTTGCATTTTGGAGTTTTATATTCTTTTTTTCCTAGTATTATCACCATTTAGTCAGCATAAACACTGGGGTTCATATTGCTCTCTTTTATACACAATATTTAAAACAAGAAGGTGAACTTTCAAAGTACCATTCAGTTCTGCTGGTTCCTTTCAAGAAATCTATTTTCTTGCCCTTAGAAATATTATCTTACCAGAACAGCAAAACCTGTAACACCACAGGGGTCTAATGTTCTATTCCTTATGTTCACTGAACAATATGAAATAAGGAAAGGCAAACCTCGTAATAGCCACAACTTTTCCAAATCTGAATCATATGTTGTATAAAAAGTCACCATTTACATATAAAAAGCACCTCAGTATTTACAGGAAAGCCAACTGAAAAATGCACAAAAAAATGATTCTGAAGCAAAAACATGTTCTTTCAATTCCTAATGTAGTATGCAGCTGTGATACCACAGAGAATTTCTTTAATTTGACCAAACTTTCTAACACAAAAAAATGCAAATTTCAGTTACAAATGATAAAAAAACAATTTAATGTACCTTTACAACATAAAAACAGTAACTTAAAGAACTCATTGTAGGTACTCCTGTCTGGTCAACTACTGTTCTTTAAACAATAATGCAGAATGCATGTTTGTGATCCAGAAATGTCACAACTCCTCTAATTCTGAATTGCCACACTCTACCAGGATAGCCTTCTGAGACTGTTTTTAGATTTAGTGATGCTTCTGTTAAGTAACCTAACTCCCTGATGGTCACACCAAGGACCATAAACTGACTGTTTCTACAACTTCATTTTTGCCTTCTCTTGTTGAGAACCCACCAAATCAGACCATTTTTCTTCAGTTGGAGAATATTACGTTATATTTATCACTATAGCAACAACCTAATTGATTTAATGCAGGTTTCTCTTCCACCATAGGATGGAGCCACTATCCCTAAGTATAATCTAAAATTTAAGAAAGAAAAAATGATCAGTTTATCATTTTATCATGTCAAAGAGAACATAATTGGGCTTCAGAAATTAGAGTACAAATTAAATGACTAATAGACTATACATATACATCCAGAACATAATTCATAAATATGTTTATCTGTCAAGTGGACTCAGAGTATGGTGTTTACTGGTTGCTCCCTGTAATAGGGATGACTATTGCACAACAAATACATTCCCAGAAACAAAGATTCACAAAGTAATTAGGGGAAGAGAAAGCAATATTCATATAACCGATTCAGGAATAAGATTTGTCAGACTACCAGATTAAAAATTAAATAAGTAAGGTAGATCAAAAGTTTTATTTATACTGCTATAAAAAAATGGAAAAATTAAAAAGTTCTGATTTTTTGGGGAGCTGCAGGGTTTGATGTAAATGTAGTAAAATGATACAGTGAGGCATAATCAGATACAAGGTTCCTGTAATCACTTTAATAATATTAAACACATTTATTGTTTATTACAGAAGTTTACTAGGTATCAGAGATGTACATTGGTATACTTCCATATACCTGAATATAAGGTGTGTGGAAAAATACAGAACACCTTACATTGTCAAGTTCTTTTCTTTTACTTCCTGAGAAATATGGCAAGGTTGTTATTATTAAAACATAACTAAGTCATTCCCACCCTCAGTTATGCTCTTCTTCAAAAAATCAGGCATTAGATGAAAAAAAAACTGAATAAACCCTAGATGATTTTTAAAAGAATTCATAAAATTACAGTACTACTTTACCGAGAAATATCTTCACATTTTTTTTCTTGATTTTTAAACATCTTCACCCTTTCCACAGAGCAAAAACATTTTTTGCAATTTTTCCAATACTACCGCTAGAGAAAAATGTTCATGGTGCTTCATTAACATTTGGAATTGCAGATGTCAAATCAGTGAAACATTACATAAATGGTGGAGTGTTTTGACACTGCATATTTTAAGCTGCATGGTGCCTTTCAGCACTATATGTAATGAAGAGCGTACTACATGTTTGAGGAACACCATCTATACTGGCTGAGAGAACTAATTAGAAACTGGTCATTTAAGCACACCAAAAATTGTCTTCATATTATTGGCAAACATTTGCATTGTTCAGCATCACTAAACAATGAAAAAAAAAAAAAAAAAAAACAAAAACAAACAAACAACAACAACAAACAATTCAAATATTCAAATAGACAGCTTTATTCCTTAGAACAGAACACAGTCAAACCTCTCACTGTATAATATAAATAATTTTTAAGGTTTCAGAGTTTACAGTTAACTCTTTCTGACACTATGCTGGTAGAAGATACCTACACAGAACAACCTGTATCTTCTCATAACGAGCCTGGGACCCTCCCAACATTTCTATCATAAACTTAATAAATTATTTCCTATTACTAATATCCAGCTGAATTCCCTTTACACTTGAACTATTCATCCTGTAATATGTATTTACTGAGTCACTTATCTCCCAGTATGCACATAAATTCTTTTAAATCTCAGTATGTTGTTTAGTATACCCTTTATATTAGCATATTAAATATGACATTAGGTATAAAATGAAATTATTTAAAAGTATGTCCTGTTTGATATGATTTTTTACTGTAATGCAAAATGTGCTTATTTACAAAAAAAAAATACAGAATATGGAATAATTTTTGGAATAAGACTCTTGCGCTGATGTCAGTATGAAAAGTCCCTGCAACAGGCAAAAAAAATGTGAATTAAAGGTTCTCTTAGGCAATTACAATTTTGTTTCAAAAAAAAAAAAAAAAAAAAAAACACAGAAAAATGGAGAATATAATACAGTTGGAGGGAACTGAATAGAGGGTTAAGAAATGCAGCAGGCACACTCTTGAAAACCAGAATCTATTTCCTATTCATCATAACCTACACCTATTACAGCTCAACAAGACAAGCCTAATGCAGAGTCTTTTATGCTTCAGCTAATGAAAGGAATATGCACTATGGCTAAATTATAGACTGAATTCAGCTCAGGTTGGGAAAATACAGTGTAGATTCATTTTGGCAGAGTTGTGCAGGTCCCTCCTGATAAATTACGTATTTTTTTATTATTGCATAGAAACTGCTTTTTCTATGCTCTTTGAAAGATTCCCACTCTGGTACTATGGACTAACTTTCATTCCCCAGAAGTATGGGCATTAACTGTATTTATATTACATAACTGGTTGAAAATTACTCTTGCCGAGAGCAAAAATACTAACAAGAAAAAATACAGACCTTTAAAAGTGTTAATAGTCCAGGCATTTGATTCTTACAGGTAAGATTCTTATCTGTAACTCAGTGTGATTAATGGGCAATCTATCAAGTCTGAAAAAGAGTATACAAAACTCTACCAATAATCTGTGATGCAGTACTAAAACTGATAGCATGGGTTTACTATACTGCTGAGGATATGCTAAGGAAGTGCTGGGGTTTGTTCCAATGTAATTTCACAGTCAGAGAATCACATATGATCCCAGTGATGTTAAGGCATCTGTCACTTGACTAAGTATGTGCTTCCTAAAGGAATGTAAGCAAAACAGCTCCTGTTCATAGAAAGTGGATGGGGGTAGGAGAGTGTGTATGTGGAGGGAGCAGCCTGGGAGGAAGCTGGTAACAGCCGATAATAAACAGTGAGCAGTGGATCACGGTTACTACCACTAAAAAGTTTGTTCCTGAAATCCAAGAGGTGTTTCTGTTCGGACTGGAAAGGCCACATCTACAGCCTAAGGACATCTCACGCTCCTGAGAAGCAGCAGTATTAAAGCGACCGTCTACCTGCTTTACCATGGGGGGAGGGACAGATGGATCGAGGTGGCCGGTCTAAGGCCCGGTTCCTACGCCTGCCTGCTTCAGAGCTCGGCCTTTGGCAGAAGCGTTACCTCGGAGGGGAAGGGTGTGGATTTACACCCAGCAAAAGCACCAGGACAAACATGTACTTACTGCAGTAAGCGATTAGGAGACTAGCCAGGATCATAATAGCCCAGAAAGTTGAGGACATGCTTGGCAAGGCGTTGGCATCTTTCCTACTGCTTCTCCTGGGAGATGGAGCCATTGAAGCCACCTCCCCGGTGAGGGGGGAGGGGGGGTGGTGGTGGGGGGAAAGTCAGACAGCTTCACCAGCCAGCTCTCCCCTTGACTGATGGCCTTTCTCCACGTGTAATCCTCAAGGAAGGCATCTTCCCATGACCCCCGCGGTTCGTCAGCAGCAAAACGGTCCTGTTGCAGGAATCATCCTCCAGCCCGAAAGCCAAGGCGACTCTAAAGCATGCAGGACTTCGGCGCAGCGGCCGCAGCCAGCTTTCCTCCCGTTACTGTGGTGCGTTTCACTACCGTGGTGGGTTTTACTGGGACTCGGATGCCTGGCGTAGTGCTGAGCTTTAAAGATGTCCCACGAAGGAGCCCCTTTTTCCCGGTTTGTTTTGTTTGGGTGTTTTTTTCCCTTTCCTTTTTTAGTTCGCGGGGGGTGTTCCGCTTGCTGTCCTTTCCCCTGCCTCCTCCCCCTCCCCGGGAGGCAGACCTCCGCAGGCCGGGGCCGGGGCCGGGGCCGAGGCGGTGCTACCGCGGGGCGGCCTCCCCCGCCCGCCCTCCCGCCCGCCGCCGCTCTAGGGCGACCCGCGCTCAGGCCGCCGCCGCCGGCCCGCCCAGGGCAGCATGGCCGCGGGGGCCGTGGGCACGGAGCGGCGAGGGCAGCCCGCCGGCCACCGCCGCCCGCCCGCGGGGGAGGGCTCCGCCAGGCAGCTCCGTGAGGCGAGGGCGATCCGAGCCCGGCACCCGCGGAGGGGCGGGGGGGCGGCGGTGCCCGCCAACGGCTGCGGCGGAGAGGCGCCCCGTCCCTCCCGGCGAGTCCAGCCTGAGCTCCCCTCCCGGCCGGTCCTGCGGGCTCGACGGGGCGGAGGCGCGAAGGGCGGCCGAATCGGCGGCGGGCGGGACACTTGGCGAGAAGGGTCGTCGGTGGGTCTCCTCCTCTCCGCACTCCGCCAGCCCCGCGCTCAGGCTCTGCTGCCCGAGCGGCGCCGGCCCTTCAAGTAAAAAGAAGGAGGAGGAGGAGGAGGAAAAGGAGGAGGAGGAGGGGGACGGCGGTCACGCCCACAGGTGAAGAGCGCACGGAGCGGTCCGTCCCCCGGCGCCGCGCCACCTGCGCGTCCCCGCCGGAGCTGCGCTCCCGCCCCGCGGGCGAGCATCGCCCTGCACACCCGCCCGCCCGGCGCTGCCGGCTCCTCGCCCCGCTCCTTCGCTCGCCTCCTCCGGTGCGACACTGCGCCCGGCGAGTTTCACCCGTGGCGGGGGGGGAAGGAGGAGCCGCGGGGGGGACTCCCCGCAGCGGCGTCTCCCAGTCGTGCCGGGGGAGGGGGGGGGGGGTGTCGGGTCAGAGCGAGTCGTGCGGCGGGCAGGGGCCGAGGGGGACCAGCCCGGTGGCTCTGCGGGAGGAGAGCCAGCGCCAGCCCCCAGCCTCTACCCACGGCCTTCGGCGGCGAGTCGGCGCGGAGGAGCCTCCGGGAGGGGAATGGAAGGGGAAGGGGGAGGGAGAGGAGCAGAGGCTGTCCCCGGCCGGAGCCCCCTCGGGGCGACTTTGCTCCGGGCTGAGATGGAGCCTAGGCAGAAGGAGAAGGGGCACAGGGAGTTCTTCCCGTCCCCTCACCTCCACGGTGCCGCCCGAAGTCTCCACGGTGTGTTCTGACTAGTCACGGCCACAGGTGTTAATGGAACCCTTCCTCCTGCGGTGTTCACCAGCGGTCCTTACGGGGACCGTTGGCGCGCAGTTGCTGTCGCTGTGGTGGCAGGGAGACATGGATGTGAAACCCACTTTACAGTGCTCCAGTTCACAGGTATGCCAGTTGCCTTTGTGGAAATAATAAAAAAATTGAAATGTTTTAAGAAGGACCAGGTAGTTGAGCTTTTCCATTCGGAGCCTCCTTAGCAATGTCCTCAAATTAATATGTTACGTTCTGCAGAAGGTAGTCACTTTCCGAGGACAGGCAGGATTGGCAGACTAGAATTGGAGCTTGGTCACAATATGTCCCAGCAGTCTCCTGCTGTGTTTTGCTTGCATAATGAAAATACCATGAAAAAGTAGATCGTATTCCTTCAGTAGGCCCAGGTTTGTCTGATTGTCTGCCACTTAAATATCTGGACTTAAAATCGTATATGAATGGTACATTATTTACAAGACAGGACTGTAGGGACTTTTTTAGGACAGCTGCACTTGACTAGATACTTGGAACTAAGTTCAGTTTTGCACCATGAGGTTTGATTACAGATCTGATTTTCTACCTAAGTAGTTTGTATCCTGAACTGGTTGGGCAATAGGCTGATGTGTTCGAGGAAGCTTCACAGAGATGAAGCTTTAGCTATCGTTTGGGTATAGGCACAATATCCCCTTCCAAGATGTGACTTTCCCTTATTTCCAGTGAGAATTTCTTTTCTATTACATTTAAAAACTAGAATAGAGCACGGCTCAAGCATTAAGGCAACATGCTAAGCTTTACTCTTCTCCCCCACATCATTTAAAAGAGCATTTTATCATTATTTTGTATTTAGAGACTAAACCTTTGTAACACCTTCTCTCCATAACTTGGACACTAGGTTTTCTTTGTAAGTCAATATAAATTCCATAGCTCCTTTGGTATCCTGAAGCATTAGTTCAATTTGATGTTGTAAAATACTACTGCATAATGAGCTTTTTAAAAAATAGGACTTGCAAATTTCCTATTCTCAGAACAAATGTAAATAAGTATTAAGCAACAAAAATGCCTCACCATGATGTGCTACTGTTCATTGCAATTCCAGGACTAACATGTAAATTAAGCAGTTTTTTGTATGTATGAAAAGAAATTTGATTTCCATTACAGCTGCGAGTATTGAATGTACAGTTGAATAACATATTTTAACTATTACTAAAAAGAAAAATCACGAATATCTTGACAAGAGATACATAGTATGACGTATAGATTAAGAGAATTCAAAGCCACAAGGGATAGCTGTAACAGTACATAGGCTGCTATACCTTTCAGTATAGTCTGTAGAATTTTATACAGTACATTTTATAGTTTACCCATTAAGTTGTAGTTATACACGAGGATTTCTCTTCGAAATACATTCAGCTTTCATTCTGAGGAGCGGGAGTCATGATTACTGTTCACCTAAATAAAGCCTGAATCTTGATGCAGAGACTAAAGTATTGCTTTGCTAGTTCTGGAAGCTGATATTGTTCACTTGGGACCAGCTTAATTCTCATGTTGGAGAACTACTCAGTTACTCAGAAAGTAAGGTACTATTCATTGAGAATAAGGACCACTGAGCTGAGGCCTTTGTGTTTCTATCTACATCTACCTTTAATAGTTTTACATAAGGCATTTTATATGAAGAAAGATTTTTCAAACACTACATTCTTATTTGATTGCCAAAGACAATATAAGACTTAAAACCACTCTTAAAAATGTAATTTGATGTCACTGCTGATTTATTCTATAGGTGTCTGGCTGTTTTGCACCACCTTGTGTTGAAAAGTACCTCACCCTAGAGTGACACTACTTACAGAGTAAAATCTTACTCAGTGAAAAAGTGGCAGAATATGATCTTAATTTGCTTGCCTCTTTCCTGACATGTCCCTTTCACATTGATTTTCAAGGAAAATGTGTGAAGTCTCTGTATTTAATACCACCCTCGTTTCCCAATATATTTCCAGTATTCAGACCTTTGTGTGTACAGAAATGTAGAAACAATGATTAAACTCGTGGACAGATGTCTGAAAGCAGAAGAGAAAGCAGAAACCCAAGGTAAAGGCTGTATATCAAAGTGAAATAATCTTGTCAGGAATCATATTTATTCCCATACAATCAAAGACACAGATCTCCTGTTCTGCCATTGCTGTTGGAAAAGTTAATATCTACAGGCAAATTAAAATAATATTGAAGCTATTTATTAAGTTAGGTTGTGCCATTGCTCCAATTGAAATTACAAGCAAAATGTTTCTACTGACTAGAAACAGGCATAATTTGAAGCCTGTTGTACGCTGTATCTATGTGTCAGAGAGTTTGTCCATGATGTGTATATGCACTGCTGCTTTCTGCTAGGATGTCAGACCTGTAAAGCTTGTGCAGTGATGCTGACCTCTATTACAGGTGCAGCCTACAGAGGATAAATTCTAACATTCGTTTAGCATCAAGCATGTACATAGTAGAAGGAAGGTAACATTCTTTAGGTCTTTACAGAGAGATCTTCTGTTCTTTTTGAGTTTGCTTATTTACTTTGAAAAGAGAAGGTTTAAGTAAACAGTAAAAAAAAAAAGTAAAAAGTGGGTAAATTCTATGGCAGTACACTGATTCAATGTACTTCATAAAGAATTACCAACCAATAATATTCAAGGTAACAATTGAGTTTTGGCTTCAGATAAAGTAAAATTCTTCAATTAATTCTAAATGTTGATTTTAAAGAAAGAACAGGATAATCTCTGAGTGTGCATTATTGTTTAGATCTGTTGATTTTGAGATAAATATGAGTATAATAGATGTAAAGTAATAGCATCAATAAACACTTTTTTTTTAAACAATGTTAAAAACATGACTTACATACAAGAACTATGTAACATCAGCTTGTTGTTTTGTCTTCACAGAATTTTCAGCAGAAGAGCAGTGGAGCTTAATACTAAGAAAATAAGCTCTGCAACTTTCCTTAACCATTTATATTTTCAACAAAGTAGTTAAAAGGCTCTATATGTCTCTAACAATCTACAGTAGCATTTTAACAATAGCAAGTATCAGAAAAAATGCAAGGGAACTGCAATTTTCTTCCATCTTCCTTGAGAAGAAGGGATCAGTGGAGATCAGTCAGATGATACAGATTCATGGTTAAAGAAAAACAATGTTTTCAGTTAGATTTTGTGAAAATATTTGCAATATTTGTATTTGCTAATCTTAGGCCGTGTTTAAAAAAAAAAAAAAAAAGAAGATTAAAGTAGACACCTCAATAATTTTTTTAATACCTTCTTTAGTGCCCATAATTTTGGTCATCTATTTAATAGGGAAGGTTTGCATTAACCAGAAAATTATTTTATTTGTGACAAAGAAAGAAAAAGGAAGAAAGAGCGACAGAGTGTGTAGATGCATGCTGATTTCATTGTCAAATTATAGGGAGTGAGTTCAGTCCTTCAATAACAGGAATCAGAAATCATATTTCAGCTTAAATGGCAGAGAATGGCATATATCTGAAACTATGGGATCATGAACTTAGCTCTCACCCAGTATTTCAGTGAAAGTATTTATTTACAGAGTACTTAAAAAATTAACGGAGAGAGATTTTGATACATGTTCATGCAACAGGCTTTTTTCAAGGTCAGTAACAGTAAGGTCCTTAAGAACTGTTGACAATTCTCTTAATGCATAGTCAAAATAGATTTACAGGGAAAGTGTCAACCATTCAGATACAAAAGCTAAGTCAAGTTGCTTTATGGCATTATATTGTCTATGTGCCAGGTGCTCCCACCGATGAGAGCTTTGGTTGGTTGCTACAAACCTATAGCTGTGATGTGTTACTTGTAGACTGTGCCTTTTGACTGATCTTCTT